TGCTGATAATACAGAATCTCTGTGTACTATTCCTGATAATTTCTATAAAACCTCATTCTGTCACCAATAATATATATATTACTGAAGACTGTGTGTCCTTGCCTTGTCAGAAACTGCAGCCTTCACTTTCTTCTTTCACCCATAGTTTTATGTGTACTACAATAGCTATGAGTAATTTTTGTTTCCAGATTCAGTATAAAGAAAAATCACTAGTTTATGGGTCAAGCTATTATCATCTCATATTATGCTGCAGTCCCCTTTTCTTCTGCACTATCCTCTGTCTTTTAAATCCCTTGCTTAAAATCTCCTTGGTGATTTCTTTATTTCTCCCCCAAGCAGCCTCTGAGTTTCAGCTGGGCTTTCCTCGAGGGTAGTCTATTATCACACTTTTCCTTTAAATTCCTACATTCCATAATTAGCATTTTTAGGTCTGTGCTGAATAATGGGTGGACTGCAACTCCCAGATCTACCATGTGATTACTGGGGGTGAATCTGTTTTTCAACGCAAGTATGCAGGAAGGTGAAGATAATAACCCTCCATGAACGTACCTGCAAAAGCCAATGACAGGAGTCAGGCATGTGCACGACACCTGGCACTCAGCAGCCACAGAGGGTTCAGGGCTGTAGCCGTCAATCTGTGGGGTGACCCTGGGGAGAAATATGTCCTTAATGTCTCAGATATGACCATGCTGGGAAATAAAGGTAGGTAGTCAGTCTGCTTTGGGCACAGCAGGGCCAGCTCAGGTATGTCCCACTGTGCAATCTGAGCCCAGGCTGCTGAGAAAGGGCTATGAGAAATTCAGTAGGACACTAGAAAAATTAAGGTACAGTCAAGGATAGGCTTGTTGAGACAGGGATGCTTGGTTGCTTAAGGATTCAGGAGGGAAAAGGGCTGAGTATGAGTTCCTGAAGGAGGAGAGAAGGGAGGCTGGTCAGGATGAACAGCAAAACCTGAGGCAGTGGGGTTGGTCACGTCATCAGCTCGAGAAACAGCAGCTTTGGGACACCCAGACTTGGCCCTTCCCCTCTTGATGCTCTTGAGGACAGTGAAGGCTCCACAGGTGCTGCACCAGGGAGGAGATATCAGCCTGACAGCCCAAAAAATCTCACCTGTCCTTCATGTCTGGTAGCTTTCCCACCCTTCACTGCTCTAGATGACCCTTTGCTCTAAGATCAAGAGTGACTTTTTTTGTTCACCCTCAGGAGCTCCAGTTATCCAAACCATGATTTCACTTACTCAGACAGGGAAGCAGAAGGCTTTAGCAAGGATTTAATCTACACTTGGCAATTCTGGAACATTGTATCACACATCTACAGTTTCTTTTATCTCTGTAAAATTATTTACTTTTTGTGTCTTTTATTAATGCACAATGGATGTGCATTAGTGAAGCAACCAAAGCAGAATTAAATTGCTTTCCTGTCTACTTTTGCTTTATAAATCAATAAATCTGTGACAGTAATGTGTTTTAAACACACAGAAATACTGGGTACTTCTTTTCATACTGAGTTGTCCAAATATTTGCTCATTATCCTCAGAATACTTATATTCTCTAAGCAAAAAAAAAAAAAATTACATCACTTTTTTCTTTTGCACTTATACATAAGCTTAGCTTTATGTCTTTATTCCCTTCTATTACCTTTGTTATTTTTCACAGACCAGTACATAGGTCCATATATTTTTTTAGTAGGTTCTAAATTTTTCTGCAGAGCCATGTTATTGGCTCCCTAACCGATTTCCTTTACTCAGTAAGATAATCTATTCAAGTGGAAATGGGAAGTTTACGCAATATGCTCTCTAGACTTCTCTGTATATAGTATGCTCTGGGCCACACTGCCTGGAGTGCACCTTTATCTGAAAAGCTGTGCATTTGCAACACTTGCACTGGAAAGCACCACTGGAAACTCAAGGTCCTGTGACTGTGCAAGGCAAGGAATTGAATATTCTGTGAACACAAGATCACTGAAGGACTCTGTGTACATGTTATGTAATTGAGAGGAATAAAAAGAATAAAAATGTTTGGGGGAATGCTCCACTGAGGACTCCATGCAGTACTGGAAAAATTCCCTGAACTGGTAATGACAAGCAGAATATTTCTAAACCCATCCTTCATCAGACCATGGCGGGATGTACCATTCAGAAAACTTGTTCCAGTTTCTGATGCCTTCAGGTCTGGTCAGGCCCTCAGCAAGCCTTCAAATAGAAAGGGTGAAACAGCTTTTAGGTCCTCACAAGCCACCTTCCAGCCTTATACCGAACACAGGTTGTTGAGAACAGAAAAGCCATATACATCTAGTTCTCATACTCATTTACAGGTGGGTCAACTGGAAGAGAGCTTCCAAGCAGGTCCAGAGCATGGTTTCAATTTAACTGCATGTACCTCAACTGAGACACCTTTATCAGTCTACTGTCACATCCCATACTGTCACTGTGTTGATACCATAGCCCTGTTCAGGCTCTGAAAAGGCTTTGTGATGTGGTAGGCTGCAGCAGCGAGAATAAGACTCATCAGCCCTGACAGTCTACTTCAGTCTTTTATTCCTGTCCCATTGTGTGTCCATCACTCTGATTTTTAGCTCTACGTAGCCATTTTTTTCTGTGACAAATGTTCTTACTCTCTGCCCTTACTTGATTAATCTTTTCACCAGCTGTACTTGTGTTCACAGAGTATGTGTTGCTATGCATTCATTTCACCACCTCCACATCTCTGAGCATTGGCAACAATCACTTACATTCTTCAAAAGAAAATCCTGTTAACTCGTTGCATCCAAAGTACGAAAAAGAAATGTCAGCATTATGGATTGTGGCTAGACAATGATTTTGCTATAAAAGTGTGTGCACTGTACTAGGCAAAGAAGGGGCAGCATCACATGGGAACATACAATATAAGAACAGACAACACTTGGCTTAGTAGAGATGTGCTTCCCTCTGTTTGCTCCATAGTTTGTGGGACTGCAATTATTAGCAACAAATTAATATACTTGTCCAACAAATGCTGGCACACAACAGGCAGGAGTGGGTGGCAGAGCAGCAAGACATTTGTGTGTGGTTAAATAACAATTAACTCAGGCCCTAGTAAGTGGTCCAGAATACAAGCTGTATCTCCTGGGTTTTGAAAGAACAACAACATTTGTTGTGTGCTGACAGTTTCCTGTCTTTGTACCCGCTATCAGAAAAAAAGTGCCCACCCAAGGCCTTGGTAGGTTGTGCTGGGGCCCAGGAGAGGTGCTTGTGCCCTTCCAGGCTGCATTGCTGGGGCTGAGCACCATATTTTGTCCTGTCAGTCATTTAGTTAAGACTTGTCAATCGGATGTGGCAGGTGCAGCTTGAGGTGTCAGTCACCAACATCTGTATGTTCATATCCTGCTACTTCCCAAATGGAAATGTACAATAGCCTTAAAGAGAGTTTATTTCTGTCTGTGCTTTTAGTTTAAAGTATTTGAACAATTTACAGATAGGTTTCTTTGTTTCTTTGATTAGGTTTTATTTGCTCCTTTATCTCAAAGAGGGCATTATTACAAAAAGCTCCAAGGACAGCCTGTGCCTTTTTTGCAACTCCATAATTTTCTCTTTACAATTTTTCTTCAAAGAGTGAATAATACACTATTCAGTGCATTGAAACTGCACTCTGCTAATGGAAACACTGCCTGGAGCTGCTTTGAAATGCAGTCCAAAGCAGCCCACAGCACCAAGCAATCTGTGAGACAGGCACTGCAGGTCCCCTGTTATTGCCATGTCCTGGCAAGCAATTTTGACATTCAGCGGAGTTATTGCCATAAAGATTTGAATCTTCTGTGCTGGGTCTTTTGGGTCTCAGCAGGATATGTCTTCAAATCTTTGACTTAATTACCTAATGCATTGTTTCAGAACTGGCTAAGAGTCCTTACACAGAATCACCTTGTCCTCTGATGTCAGGACAAATCCTTCAGACAGTCAGTCTGTCCTTCTCTCTTCTGGTTCCTTCCCAGCTCACTTTCCATCTAGTGCCCCTGCTTTCCTATCCAGCTGCCATGCAGGGCAGTGCTGCTCACTTCTACTTCCCATCCTCATTTCAGCTCCTTCGCAAGGTCTCTCCGCCATGCTCTTTGTATCCCCAGAGACTGGTCCTTCCCCAACAGCACAGTATCGAGCTCTGATAAACCTTCAGTTTCTGCTCCTCCACAATTTATTTTCATATTCTAGTTTATCACTTCAGAGAAAGAACTATCAAGAAAGGTCGGTGAAGGTTTGTACCAACTGCTCATTCATTTTATTATTTATTTCTTGGCAACAGTCTTTTTTTAATAGCCATTTATGCCGGCCAGAGGAAGTGTGTGGAGTCTGCCAACATGGAGTGAGCTCCTCCGATTTTCCAGTAAGTCTTGCAGCAGCGAGTATGTCTCTTGAAGTGTCAGCTCCGGGAGTGCTGCGACCATTTGCGAATCCAATTTTTTCACTTATCATTTGAGAATCTGATTTTATCTTTCCCTGGAGTAAGTCGTGAGCTCCCGTGACCATGGAAAACAAGTCTGGCTGATGACCAAGCTAGTCAGACGCACAGGGCTCGCTGCACTGAAGCTCGTCTCCAGGCATATGTCTGGGGGCTCGGAGGGGACAGTCTGGTGACTGGAACATCGCGGCCGGGCAGGGCGATGCTGAGCGCCCCGGGGGCCGCGGGGCGGGCGCGGCTCCTTGTGATGCTCCGAGCGCTGCCGCAGCGGCGCGGCCGCCGCCGCCCAAGGACTACAGCTCCCGGCGTGCCGCGGAGAGCCCGCCCGCCCCGCTCTGCCCGGCTGGGCTGGGCTGGGCTGGGCCGGGCCGGGCCGGGCGCCACCGCCCGGGGGAGCCCCGCGGCGCTGGGCACAGCGGGGGCGGGCGCCGGCGGAGGCGGGAGGGAGGTAGGTGTGGGTGTCGGTGTGTGTAGGTGTGTGTGTGCCGGGCAGGTGAGAGCCCCGCTGGGAGGAGGAGGAGGAGGAGGAGCACGGGGAGGAGGAGGAGAAGGCGGCGTGCTCCTGCCTGCCGGGCAGTGCGTGTGTGCCTGTGCGTGTGTGCCCTCGGTACCGCTCGGCTCACTCGGTGGCGGGTGGATCCCGCTACTCCCCGCGCCGGCGGGCATCGCTTTTCCCAGCGCGGCCGGTTCTCCTCGAGGTCCCGAGAAGAGCGTGAGTGAGCAGCTGGGCTGGGAGCGATCACGTATGTGCTGTAGGCGCACATGTGTTTCCTACGCATGCAACACATCCGTCGGGCTGCAGACTGCGCCCCGTGGCACCGGGCGGCCTCGGCGGGGATGGGGCGCAGGCGAAGGGGGTAATAACGAATTAATTGCAGATGAGAAGTAATATCCGTCTTTGAGTCATCAGTCCTTGAGGCATAATTTCATTCCAAAAGCTCTTAATCGAATGGGAGATCTGCTATAGGAAAGCACTGCTTTTCCCATAGGATTATCAGATTTCTACCGGAGAATACAGATCCCCTGGATTATTGAGCTACATGGGATTTGCATGTTTCTCTCTAATTAGTCTGTGAATCTGATTGTAAAATTCTTTATTTGGAATTGGGGGGGGGAGAGGGAAGTTACTTGCCTCTACAACGACAGACGTCTCTTTTCTCTGACATTTTACACAGTTTTTCTGGTTATCCTGTGCTGTGTAGATGACTTACTGCCTTAATTGGATAGTGGTGTCAAAGGTTGATTAGACTCCCTAATAGATTTTGGATTTGCAAGAGGATTGCAATTTTAAATGCGTGGTTAAAACAATCGTTGTTTGTCGTCTCCTCTTGATCAGTTGATAGGAAGGCTGATGTATTACATTTGCGTTATCTTCCCTGTGGTTTGTTAATGTATCATTTTGAGGTTGTCAGGTTGGGTTTTGTTGTTGTTGGGTTTTTTCCCCTCTGTTATTTCATTTGCAGACCGAAAAGAAATGAATGTCACAGAGGATTTGTTTAATCATTTAACAGCTGACACAAGCCATGTCCCTAACAAAACGTTGGTGAAAGAGTAGAAGATTTCTGGGATACAGCAGCTCTGGTACCGGGAAGCCACTTCTGCAGGTCAGGGGAAGCACTTGCTGGAGGATGAAGTAGCCCAGGAGTCGGGGCTCGCCGGGACAAGGTTGATGGCTTGCATGGAGCTTCTCTACCTGGCCAAAGAGAGCAGACAGGTGCCTCTGGGCACCACTACTGGCTGGAGCCTGTCCTCCCCTCCCTACGAGCAGCAACAGTGTGAGGGGGGTGAGGCGGACCCCAGAGCAGCCGCTGCCGTGGCAGCCCTCCACTGTGAAAGGCATTGCAAGCCCTTGCAGAGGGGCCCTGTGGCTGAGCCCCCTGGCACTTCAGTCCTCATCCCTGGACTCCTCACCCCAGGAGCAACTTGCACCCTCCAGCACTTCCCAGCCCTGCCACCCACCTGAGTGCTCGCCCAGAGAGGAGGACAGAGGGAAGAAGAAAGCCTGCTGCTGTGCCCAGGAGCTCGAGACGTCATTCACCTGCGTGGATGAAAATGTAAATCTGGAGCATGCAAGAAGTCCCCCCACTCCTATAGGTGGACACTGCCAGGATGCCCTTCTGCAGCAGCATTCCTGCAGGGAGCTGCCGCTTGAATGGGTGCATGATTCTCCTTCCCTGGTCTCCGAGGAGGACGATGCTGCCTCGGAGGCGGCGGCCGGGAAATCCGTTGACTATGGGTTCATTAGTGCCATTTTGTTCCTGGTTAGTGGCATTTTGCTGGTGATCATTTCCTACGTGGTACCCAGAGATGTGACTGTGGATCCCAACACTGTGGCTGCCCGGGAGATGGAGAGGCTGGAGAATGAGAGCGCCAGGATTGGTGCTCACTTGGACCGCTGTGTTATTGCTGGGCTGTGTCTCTTAACCCTGGGGGGTGTGGTGCTCTCCAGCCTGTTGATGATGTCCATGTGGAAAGGGGAGCTGTACCGGAGGAGCAGGTTTGCATCCTCCAAGGAGTCTGCAAAGCTGTATGGATCTTTCAATTTCAGAATGAAGTCTGGAGCAAACGATAATATGCTCGAGCTGTCGTTAGTTGAGGAAGATGTGCTTGCCATAGATAATTAGTGTAGTCATGATTTTTAAGGCAGCATTTCTACAGGAAAATAAGTTTCATTAAAGAAAGCAGATGCAGCTAAAGATAGCTGGTGATGCAGTTTGTTTGTCTGACAAGAATGGTTTTATCTTAAGCTCTATAATCAAATGTTTGCAATATATGAGCACTTGTTGTAAAGAGGAAATGTGTCAGAGGAAATGCAAATGATACAAAATAATGAAAACCACTGAATAAAAAAAAATTGTGATAAGTAGGTTCCTCAGATACTCATTTATGCTAATATAAAACATTCCACTGGTGTCTTGCCTATATAATTTTCTTATTTCTCCATATAGAACAGGAATGACCTTGACACTTTAGAAGCCATTAGTTATTGCGCCTGCAGGATTATTAACAGTCTACTTGATAGAATGTTAAGAAGCAGGGCCAATAATCAAATAGCAGGGCTAATATTTCGTTAAGAGAGATGCTTTTTTATTCTTTCATTTTCAGCTGATCCCTTTTCTACTGAGGGAAGAAAGAACACCACTTGGTCATGACTTGCCACAACCCTGCCATATTTTCAAACAATTGTACAATTAGTGATGATTATTTAAAATATAAAATAAGAGGCAAAGGGCAGGAAACCATATGGCTCATGGTATTGGTAGGAGACAAAAGGCTCTTTCAGCTTGAGGTCAGTGGCTCCATTTCATTTTGGATTAGCAATGATTGATAGTCATTAACTTCTGATAGCTATAGTGACCCATATAAAAGAAGTTTAGTTCCTGGCGGACAGATGTCTTTGTATGAAAACTGCCATAACTTGAATTAACAGACCTCTTGTCTGGAGTCTCAAAAGACCCAAAGAGTAAAAAAGCATGGGGATGCTGAGACTGATTCTCCTTCAGTACAGATGCCAGAAGAAATTCAAGCTCAGCTGCAGGGCTTTGCTTATACTGAGGCTGTCTGTATCTTATTAGTCCTTTCTGAAACTTCAGTTTTATGTCACTATGCTGTCAGCTTTCTCATAACCAGCAAGGAAAGGTCAGGAAGGAGCTATCTGAGGCTCGTTCAATAAAACCCAATTTATCTGTAAAAAAAAAAGATCATCAGGAAGTACAAAGGTTAAGTATCAGGCAGTTTACTGGCTGACATGAGACTCTCTTAACAGAGATGATCAAGGGTACATGTTACTTTAATCACAGTTCTGTGGCACCGTAGTGAAAAACCTGTATCACTGATGCTATTTCATCGGCAGTTTCTGTGGAACATTGAGGTTGGGTTTTGCAGTGTTGAGAAAACCAACAAAAATTGGTCTGTACATCACTGTCACTTGTTACTGAACAGTGGTTAATATATATATGTGCTCCTATCATGTCTGTCATTATATATGTATGTGTCACTGACAAAGCCAAACGAGTGAAGAGCTCTGTCTGTACAGTCTCTGGCTGCAGAGTCTTAGTAGAAGCATGTGATTCACTGTCACAGCCTTTTCAGTCATGAGTTAGGTCCCAAATATCAGGAACATTAATTTTTTTTTTAATTATACTTTATTTCCCACTGTGACATACAGGAGAAGAGTTTTCTTGGGAAGGGGTGAGGAGATCTGCTTTGTGCTCCCTTTACCCAGCAATATGTGGCAGCACAAAGTTCAGAATAAGAAGTGGATGGTGGAAATGTGGGTTCCTCACTCGGAGACACTGAACGCTGTTTTGCCACCTCGTTCCTCATTCCCTCTTTTCTGGCTGTTTCTTTCAGAAAACAAGTGCAGCACCCAAGTCTGGCACTCAGCCAGTTCAGTCCCTTGTGCTTGCTGGCTTTTGACTGAGGACCTGCACTGCTCCAAATTCAAGCCTCTGGTCACTGTAAATAGCAGAGGGAGGTACCCAGGCTTTAGCACGGGCCCTGCAAAAGAGATGCTGCTTCAGATATTATCTGCTCTAAACGCTGCTTTAGTTCAGTGTCAGTGGGTAATTATATGAGCTGCCTTATTAGGAGATGCTGCTGCCTAGTAGATGATTTTCCCAGTTTATGTCATGATACATGGCATGTTCACAGGCCACTCAACAGTGACCAGCATCTCCACAGTCGTCTTTGGAGAGCTTACATCCCTCTGGATATGTCATCAGGGATTCAGGATTGAATCTCTAAAGTAAATACCTGGAATATCTTTTGGATGTAAGAAGAAGCCTTCAGCCTATTGTGATCAGTGAGAGTGAGAAAAGAAATAGCCTAGGAAGCAGGACACAGAGGAGGAGGGTTCCCCCTTAGCTGGCCTTTGCCTGCTGGTGGGTATGTGGATGCTGCCTGCAGGGCTTGACACGTCTTGAGGTGGGGTGTTGGGGACAGCACTGCTTCTCATCCTGACCTGAGGACAGGAAGGGACTGGCCATGGTCTCCACAGATCCAGGAAAAGCCTTGTCAAGCTGAGCTGGAGTGAACAAGACAGTGTGGGACAGGGGGTGGATGTCATAAGGGATGAAAACCCTTTTACCTGCCTGGGACCATAGTGGGAATCACTGTTCTCACCTACAGGACAGAAGCTCTAAAACCGAGGCTGGTGGTTTTGAGAGCTATTATTTTTATTTTTTAATGATACATATGCATGAAATTGGAGTACATTCCATTATTACAGAAAGATGACAGCTAAAGCTGTACGGATCACAGATTTCTTGTAGGAACCATGGCATGCCTTAATGCTGATTATTAGCACTAGAAAAAGGAACTCTCCTCCAACTGTCAGTACGTTATTATCAAGTGAGAAGTTTTCTGACACTTTCTAAAATACCTGTCACAGATCATGAGCCTGCAATACTTTAATGAACCCTGAAATTTTCCCTGAGCATTTTAAGGAAACCTTAGTCAACCTAATAATCTAAATATACCCTGCAGGAGTATGAGGAGTAAGAAAATTCAAACAACAGGACTAACAGAGTTTCTTTACTTTGGTGTTACTGTGTACTCAGAAGGAGGTGAAGGAAGGACTTCAGAATACAGGAATTTAGCAGATAAAAACTCTCAGGACATTCCTCTGATCACCTTTACAAATTACAGCATGGTGTGGGTTGCTGGTGCGGTGTAAAACCTCTGGACTCTCAGGTTCTCATGCTGTGTGGTGCGACAGAAACCAAAGCACTTGCTGTCAGGTGGTCAATGGTGGAAAATGAATGTATGAGCCCGCTGGCCAGTGGACAAGCCTTCACCTCACACGAGGCCATACCGAAGGCTAAGGCCAAGGGACACTGACTGCCCTCTCGTGCACCCTCACAACTTGATTTCCCCTGCTCAAAATTTAAATGCTCTAAGGGTACAGATGTGGGAAGAATTGTTGGTGCTTTTTCAATGCCTGAGCTAAAGCTGTCACAGGGATCATTGGAGATCTTTGGGGATCTAAATTTGGGCATATTCCGGTTAGGTTTTAGGGGCCCTCTAAACCATCAGGATTCTGAGTACAGATTTCTGAGTACCCCAGAAATACATCAGGATTTATGCCCTTAGTCAGTTCATTTCTGACCAACCCTAACTGCCAGACGTGACACTTTCCAGTTTTCTACCTCATGACATGCCTGCCGACTGGGCTCTGCCCTGGCCTCTGCCTTCCCACCAGAGGGGCCCCGGGGGTGCCTGTGCTGCAGGGAGGGAACCTTCCCCGAGGCAGGCAGCGCCTGGCTCCCTGCTGCTCAAACGGCTCCCCGGTGACCCGTGTTCTCGGTTCCCTTTTCGTGATCAGACGCCTGTTGCTGAGGTTGGCCATTTGGCAGCTGCAGGGCACCTGCTGGGGATGGATGTTCATTGGAATGGAGGCCTGTTGCCGTGCGGTTCTCAGCCCCCAAACTGCGGGGGCCCTGCATGGCTCTTGGGCACAGCCAACCTCACCTGCTCCTTGCCAGCCTGAACCCAGCCCCGTGGTAGAAATACCCAAGACTCTCTCCTAGGAAGCTGTGCTGGGTTGCTGCTGGTTTTTTATGTGTTTACAGGTTTTTAGTCTTTGTAATCCTTTTAAAAATCTGTCCGCGATGAATATAAAGTTTACTGACTAGGAAACCAACTGGTTTAATCTTGTAAAGCTCCATTTTGATCCACAACAGGGCAAAATGTCACAGTCCATCGTGAGCTGTTCAATAGTGCATTTGATGCCTTATTACAATCACAGACGTGTTCTGTACAGAGTGAAAAATAAAAGTCTGTGAAGCCGAGCACTGTTGTCCTGGGCCTCTTTGCTCCTCACTGGTTCCAGTGTTTGGCTCTTGCCCTGTGTGCCACAGGCACGGCCCCTGTTCCTCAGCTGGGAGCCCATGTAGGCAGCAGGGCTGCCCTGGATCAGGCTGTGCCAGCACACCAAGCCTGTTCCCAGCTCACACCTCCATTGTGTCCCTGCTGCGCTTGCATCCCACCCAACTCCATACAAGCAGAACAAAAAAGAGAAAAGGAGGGTGGGAGCAGCCAGAGCTGCTGTGTGAGCAGGCAGCCGGGGAGGTGCTGTGGCAGCAAGTGGTGCTGAGCCCCTGTTTACCATCATCACAAGCGTGACCACTTCAGTACCACATCCTCACCTTGGCCCAGCTTGGCTGTGGCCGGGCAGGAGGGCAGATGGTGCCAGGCCCAGCACCAGCCATGGTGATGACGGGTGACATGGGGTCCCCAAAAGCGCTGGACGTGATGGGAGAAGTCAGGGAGAGGAAGGAGCTGTGTTCCCAGGAGGTCTGTGGGCTGGATTCACCTCCCCCCCAAGAAGAGCTGTGCCAGAGTTGCGATGGGAGGTTGATGGTGCGGGGCCAGCAGGGACCAGCACCAGCAGCTGAGCAGGACTTCCAGTGAGCTGCACTTTGCTCCTGGCTGGCTTTTTTTGTTCCTCTCAGATCTCCAGTGTACGTCAGTTAAGCACCTGAACTGCCTTTGACAACCTCTACTCCCTCTCCAATGCGGTATGAAGGTATGCCATGCAGGTTATGGTCTCTTTTCATTCCAGTGTGACAGGATCAGACCCTTCTCTGCCACTGTCACGTGAATCGCCATGTGGGTGGGAGTGCTGTGGTGGGTGTGGATCCAGGCTGGAGCAGGGACTGTCTGCTCTTATTACCTTTTTCCACAGGACTGAGTACAACAGGGCCCCAGTTCACAATGAATTGCTCTTACCTCTACAACAGTAATAAATGTGTCCCAGAGGTGGCCAAATTGGCTGCACTGACTGCACTGGTGCCAAATCCAGCCTATGGTGTGCAACTGATGGTTAGCAAGAGGTTAAGAGAGTAGATGTATTTATATATA